TTTCGCTTTCTGATGGTCTATTTTAACTTGTCAAGGCAGCATCTTTAAAGATGATACATTATGCAGATTTCATGATTATCCATTTTGTCTAAACTATTCTTTTGCTTCAAGTTTGCATCACATTGGTTTTTTTGTTGTTGGTGTTCTTTTTGAAACAGGGTCTCACTGTGCAAGTTCAGGCTGGTCTTGAACTCACTTTGTAGCCCAGGCTGGTCTCAAACTCCCAATGATCCTCCTGCCTCGGCCTCCCGAGTGCTGGGATTACAGGCATGCGCCACCACATCCGGCTCAACACATTGTTTTGAAAAATATTTTTATCTGCAGTTTTAATCTATTGTCATTATTAGTAATATATGTCTTTTCTTCTTCATCAAGCTTATCAGAGTTTTGTATTAGTTTACTGATTTTTTTCGAGCCACTTTTTTGTTTTTATTAATTCTGCCTGTGATTTCTATCTTATTACTTTCTTAAAATTTTTCTTTATTCTATTCTGCTCTTGTTATACTAATCACTCTCGGTGATGGGTCTGTGAAATTTTTTTCTTTTACACACACTTAAGTCAAAGTTAAGTGCATTTATAGGTTCAAGTTATTTTATCATTCTGGTGAATTAGTCCTGCCATCTTTATAATGGTCTTTACTTGCCGTTATGCTTTGTCTTAAAGTCTCTACTTAGCATCACATCCAATTTGGTGTGTTCAGCTTTAACTAACCATTCATATACTTATTCGTAAAGAATCAGTACATAACATCTCTCCAAGTCATGCATGCACCTGGCACAGCAGCACACACATGCAATGTTTTCTCAATGCATTTTCCAAATGTAGAGGACTGTTAACAAGAATACCCAATTATTAGATAATCTCCTGTATTTATTTCAAGCTCCAATAAAAGATCTCTTTCTGGGTCTCTTTCAGGAGACCCAAGGAAAACTGTCATATAGACAAAGCACACTGGACCCAAACTGGGAGACCTGGCTTTCTTCTGGCTCCCAGGGATGGACAGCTGTGGGCTTTGTCGCTGTTTGGTCATCTAGTACCTGTGTTCTCCTCTATAAAGTAGACAAGGCATAACAAGTAACTCTTAAATGCCTGAGAGCTCTCCAAGTCTTTCTGCCTCAAATTATCACTTTTCTAAATGAGTGCTTTCACTATGATGATGCAGAGTTTAGAAATCACTAAAAGTTGAACAAAGCTGAAAGCAAACGGTGGTAAAAACGTCCCTCTTACACTAACATGGAACAGAAATACTTCATTTATTTATTTTTTTGGTACTGGGAATTGAACTCAGGACCTTGAGCTTGCCAAGCAGGCGCCTGTGCCACTGAGCTATATCCCCGGCCCTAAAGTTTTCTTAAAACTTGAAAGAAACAGACTTGTTAAGCACACCCCTACATACTGCATTTACCTACTGCATGACTGAGATTTCTATGTTTTGTCTGGCTCTGGCACAAGCTCTTCTCATTATTCTTCTTTCTCATTATCCTTTAAACTCTGGATTGTTCAGGTCTAGCAGGGATAAAGGCTGGAAGGGAGAAGACAGAGGCTGCAGGACAGAGCCCTGCCAGTCACCACGAAAAGTCCAGGCCACAAAAAGGATCCGCCAGCCAACTCAAAAACCAGGGCACTGCGGCCTACCTGGCTTCCTTTAATTAAGAGGGGACTTAGCTCCTTGAGAAGTTTCCCCTGTACACGAACAGCAAGAACAGTCGCAGTTAAATATCCACACTGAATAGTAATGCTCCATCACCTAGACTACATTTGGCCCAATTAAAAACTAAAACAAATTCCTAAAGAAAAATCACTGCCACCAGGCACAGTAAATTTATTTTCAGTTAGAATCTGAGTAAGGGAAGGGCACACAGCCTATTGGAGGCACGGACTTCATTTTCTAATCTCCAGGAAGAAACCCTGCTGTAGTACAACTGCTTCTCTTCTGCTATCTCAGAAATTATTAAGAGAAGGACGTTTTCACGGGACGGTGAGCACCCAGCGGGAAGCAGGACCATACATGGCAAGGGACATTGTGAAGACCAGTACGAATGCCCTGAGATTAACTTCTAATCTCTAGAGAAGCAGTCAGCAGCACGGTGACATTCGCCATGACTGGGTTGGTACAACGGGTGACAACAGAAAAGAGAGACCCAAGAACGCTCTGATCACATGCTTAAGGACCTTTCTAATCCTGGCACAGGCTGGGAGGCCAGTGAAAGGGGCAACTTTAGCCTGGACAAAGAAAAGACTTTGAAAGCGGTCAAGCTCAGCCCCGGAAGTCAGAAGTTGTGCACAGAAAAAGTCTTGAAGCAACTGTGAACGAGCTGTCACTCTCTCCTTTTACATCCATCACGTAAAATCCTGCTTTCTCTATGCGCAAGGTCAGTGTCCCTCACCAGGCTGCACGCAGCTGCAGCATGAAAACCTAAAAGTACGGAACTATTTAATCCCAAGTTGTCTGGGTTGGAAGAAACCTTCCCGCTTTCTGTTTTCTCCTCTTCTCCCTCAGTCACTTGAGAAACAGCAGCAAAAGGTAGCTTCCTCCAAGCCTAGTGAGTTCTGAGTGTTTATCGGTCTCTGCAGCCCTAATCCTCCTGTTTGAGATCAGCCGTACAGTACGCGAGGAGCCAGCTCTGCAACTCCAACGTGGGCATAGAAAAACTGCTAAAAGAACACATGCACGCGCTCTACGGTGACGAGGCTGCAGGGTCACAGGACAAAAAGCAAGCTCCCAAGGCTCCTGTGGAAGGAAGCCAGACCAGGTGTTAGAAACGGGCCTCCAGAAGACACCTTGTGACTCAGGCGAGGTCACAGAACAGGGTGAGTGACAGGAACTGCTCAAAGCTGCTTAACGGTCAAGGTCACTGGGGGTGTATTCTTTTTTTTTTTTTTAAATTTTAAAAATAAAAGGAGGAAAACCCTAACAGACAGACAACATTTTACAAAATAGCAAAAGAACAGTACAGACAGTACGAAGTTACAAACAAAGTGGTAGGGAATTAACAATGCTTGTTGTATTACACATTGATATCTTCAAAGTGTTTTCTCATGAAAACAGATATAGACATGCAATGCTGATCAACCAAGGACTCACTAAAATGCAGTGTCCCCATGGAAAGGTTCCTGGGGTTCATTAATTCACAAGTAAAGCTTTTGGATTTGTTTGTTTGGGTTTTTTTTTGTCTTTTTGTCTTTTTGAGACACGGTCTCACTATACAGTTCAGGTTGGCCTTGAGCTCACTTTGTAGCCCAGGCTGGTCTGGAACTTGCAATGATCCTCCTGCCTCAGCCTCCCAAGTGCTGGGATTACAGGCGTGTGCCACTGCACCCGGCTGGGTTTTAGACCAAACAGCATGTTGACTAGGCCTTGCCTATCACTTAGACAAAAGTCAGGTTTACTTGTTACGACTTGGTTCTCAGTATTTTCCACCAGTGTGAAAGTGCGTTCAAGGGTCAAATAAGCCTCTGCCTTCTCCTTTCCCCTCAATCCCTCTTCACAGGAGACTGTGCTCAATTTATCTCATGCTACACACAGCCTCCAGAAACACTCACGTGCTCTACCCTCTCAGCCAGTGTCCCTATTAGGTTCCCACCTCGAACTGTTGCACGTTGTATTCTAGGGGACAGTGTGACGTTGACCATGGGGAGACTGAGAGATCCTTCCTTCCTTCCTTCCTTCCTTCCTTCCTTCCTTCCTTCCTTCCTTCCTCCCACCCTTCCTTCCCTGTCCCCCTTCTCTCTCTTCTTTCAAGCATACTAAGCGGCAACCACCAGAAAAAGGAAGACAAGGACAGGAATAGTGTCAAAGGAAGGGATGCATAATACCGTAACACCCTCGTCAAAATCCAGATCAAAACAAAGCGAGAGACCAACTCAGAAAGGTGTGCAGTAGTAGCACCCTGCTAGTGGCTGAGAATCTGTAGGCAACGCAATCTATTAGCCAAGCTCTGTGTGACCCTGGGGAAACGCAAGGGTCAGCTCTCTTGAAATCCCAGGGTCTAGACCCAGGAAAATACATCCCCACCATTTTTTGTTTTTGTACCGGGAATCAAACTCATGACCTCTGACTTGCCAGGCAAGCACTTATGCCGCTAAGCTATATCCTTGGCCATCCCCACTATTTTATAAAAGGTCCATAGACCAAATAGAATGAAGGAACGGAGCAAGTGTTCCACTCACACGTCACACTTCAAAGCAACAAAGAATTCATAAGACTGTAATAAAGAATGTCCGCCTCTCCCACACTATGCTGCTCTAACATAGGAATCTCAAGAAATTGGACATGACGGTGGACTGGAGATGTAGCTCAGTGGTAGAGCCCTTGCCAACCATGTGCAAGGCCCTCGGTTTGACCCCTATAAGAGATGAAACCAAAAACAGAACCTGCCAAAGGCAATCAAAAGTGTTCCAGCATGGGGCTGGGGATTTAGCTCAGTGGCACAGCACCTGCCTGGCAAGCGCAAGGTCGTGAGTTCGATTCCTGGCACCAATAAATAAATAAATAAAAGTGTTCCAGCATGAGGGGACACCATGGTAACGGGCAAGCTGCATGAAGTGAGCCCCTCAAGTCCACAAGCACTGAGGACAGGCTGGACAGCAGCTCGTGGGGTACCACAGACACTCTGATAGAGAGAAAATCACCCACTGCCAGAACTTAGAACCTGCTTCGAGAGACTACCCTGAGAGTAACCCCAACAAGAAATTTCTAGGCCTCCTACCTTCCCTGCAAAACACAAATTTGGTAACATATTCAACTGAACGAAAGCCAGCACCCTCACAAGGGACTGAAATCTGTGTGTATTCAGGTACCTTGCTCAAAAATAAACAGGTGACAGGTTAGGGTACGTATGTGGCCCCAAGGTCGTGAGTTCGATTCCTGGCACCAATAAATAAATAAATAAAATAAAGTAAAATAAAAGTGTTCCACCTGCAGCACCACAAAAACAAAGAAAAAATAGATGAAAAGAAAAGAACAGGAGAGAAAAGAGAAAACCAAAAGATCATTTACTCTAAGAATCCAGGCTTGTGTTTATGCTCCACGTGAGGTCCGAACTGTATCTGGGCTTGAAATCCACCAAACTCGCAGGCTTTCTCAAAGGAGACGGGGTGGGAGCCATTCAGGATGTCATCCCGGGCCTGAAACACACGAGGAACAGCCTCAGGGGTCTGAGGGGACAAGGCCTCACCCCACAGACACGGCTCTGCCCCAGCACACACACTCCACAGAGCTGAGGATCGGGGCGAAGGTACTGAGATCTCAGGGGGTGGCGGGAACTCCACAGGGCAGGGCCACGTGGCCCAGGCCCAGAACACATGCCAGCGGTCTGGTATCCCCCAGGGAAAGTGTGCTGATAACCTAGGGAGACAGAAGCAATCATGAAAGACTAGAGGCAAAGGAAAATCCCTGTGAAATGACCAGATCCACACGAGCTGAAACAGAATCGTTTACTTTTGACGTACCTAAACCACAGAGTTAGCAGAGAAAACCAAAGAAGTAAAATCACCCGAACCTCAACTGCAAAGTAAAGGCTAATGTATTATAAGGGGCAATAGATGGATATACACACAGAGAAAAGAATTCCAGACCCGAGACATCCAGCAGAAGGATGAGCAAGGCATAGTCCTAGAACCCTCGCTGTGTCTCAATTCCTTCGGGTTTTTGGTCCACCGGTGCTGTTGCTATTTATCCCTCTCCTTTCTGTCTTTCCTTTCTCTAAATGGCCCCCAGACCGCCCTATGCAGACGCTCACAGCCAGCCCCTTGGACCTTAAACCCCTAAGCATCTTCTCAACCCCTAAGCGTCTTCTCCTGTTCTGCTGTCTCCTCTCCTTCCAGCTGCATTCCATTCCATTTCTTCCACCCACTAACTCGGGGAGCAGCAAATGTTCCCTCCAGAAGGCCAACGGGTGAAAATCTCAGACCTTCAGAGCCATGAGGTCTGTGTGGCAACTACTGAACTCTGCCACTGAATCACAAAATATATACACAATTACGTAACATGTAATGCGTAACTTATGTAATACACGACTTCTGTACAGAAGGAGGGCTGCGGTTGGCAGTTCTCGTATTATTTCTGAGGCCCGATAAGCAGATAGATGCAGGGAAGGAGGAATTAAAGCTTACATGACAGAAAGTATGGCAGTACAGATGGGTGTTTCTTTTGAGCCAAACGTAACTGGAGGGACCATCCAGTGATCAGCCCACATCTCACATACTGGGAAACTGCAACTCAGATGTGTTAAATGATTTGTTTGAATTTACACAATCAGTTAATGGTGAAGATATAGAAGGGTATGTGCAGATAGTGTTCAGTGAATGGGAAGTAATGATTTTTTTGCTGAGATTGTGTCGTGTTCTAAGGTGCTAGCTAACAAAGCTATACTGTCTTTGAACTGGTGAGCCATTTAAATACAGGCCGTCTCTCCAAAACAGGAGAGAAGAGCAGTGCCGGGCTCCAAGTCCCAATTTGGGAAGGCGAGAATCCCAGAAAGGTCCCACCTGGATGGCCAGTGATTCCCATCCAGGGCCAACCTGCACTAGCACCAGACAGGAGGAACCCAGGGACGCGTGCCCCGGATGTGGGTGCTGGGGATAGTGTGGGAGACAGAGCCAGGCTCCTGCTCCCTGGATACCAGCCAGGAGCCCACACAGTTCCCCGGGCACAGGGTCTGGGAGGGGAAGGCTGTACCTGGACGTAAAGCAGGTTCAGCTGCACAGGGTCTCTGGAGTCCACGTTCTGGTCGGAGTAGAAGAACTTCCGTCGGAGCAGCAACGTCTCGTTTTCATCTACGCCTTGCTCTCTGAACGTCCGGCTGTGGTCCAGCCAGTTCACTGCAACACAAGACGCAGAAGAGCACTGTGTGTGCTTCTCCTCCCAACTGCAAGGGATTCACCGCAACGGCAGTGGGACCCAGGCTGGGCTTCTTCCATGCTGACAGTGAGAGTGACTTCTTACGTTAACGCTGTGCTTTCCACTTTGAAAACCAACTTCTCATCTACCACATGACCAACAAAAGGGTAAAGAAGGACAAAACCCGTGGCCATTCCTAAAGTGAGCTGACCCTCCACAGCGAATTTATCACATGTTCCCCCTCCCCAGAAGGCGAGAGTAAGGAAATGAGTATTTTAGGCTAAGAAACCAGGTTGGAATTCTCCTCAAACTCAACAGTAGATACTTGAGTTTCATCAGGTGAAATGACTCAGAGGCACCGAACATAACCAGTAACCTCTGACCCCGAGAGGAAAAGAGGAAGAAGAGGGAAGCGGTGCAGAGGAGGGGTCGGCACTGGAGGGTGGAGGGGACAGACCGCCCCTCACGTGGGCCAGCTGGGTCTCAGGCGTTCTAGGAACCCCGCCCGCACCTCTAGGTGCACAGACATCCACTACCCCTCGCGGGGCTGCACATGCACACCCGCACACGCACACACACTGCAGGTGAGTATTTACGACCCGCCTCACCGCGTTCGAAGCAGCTTCAGCACACAGAATGGGGCTGACGGCCCTTCCCTCCCACAGTGCCTGGGGCAGCCCTGCGCACACGTGGATAAATCCTTGGGGTTTGTCTACTCGAGTCTGTGGGAAAGAAGTGTGCAACCGGGAATCCAGTGAGGCGGACAGAAGAGGGTCCTAGACAGAGTCAGAGGAGATGGCAGACCCAACAAAGATCAATGAACACAATGACAATGAGGATGTCACCCCAGCGCTGTGGCAGGAGCAGGAGGTGGGGGGCCCGAGTGGACGGGGGGATGAAAGACGGTCCCGCAGAATAGGAGGGGCGGCAAGGTGCACATGGCCCGGCCAGCGGGGACGCGTGCGGCTGTATTCTTTTTCACACGTCAGCTGTGTGGCTGGGCAAAGTGACTTTCTTATGAGAGAAGCTTATCCTCACTTTTGCCCTCTGGCAGACAGAAGCAATGCTCACCCATGGCCGTTAGCATCGACCCAGCAGGGACAATGGGCAAAGCTTCTGGATGGAAGCACACAGCACTCCTGAAGACGGCGTCTCCACTGAACACACACACACACACACACTCTAAGCAATCGGCATGCACGAGGAATTAAAAGGGACAGGGGGCCATGTTCCAATGACACAGAGGTACGCAATCGCCAGAACCCACGGTGTGGGTCACACCACACAAGCGAGAGTCTGGTTTCTCCACATACGCAAATCTCAAGGGAAAAAATAGAAGAGATGGGGAAGAAACACTAGGGACATAAAGCAGCACGCTACCCAGCCCTATCTGCACCCTCATTCAAACTACTAAAGGAATTTGTGGGAGACAACGGAGAAACCGTGAGCACAATTTATGTGTGAGATGCAAGGACGTTTTTTTTTTAGGGAAATGGTACTACCATTATTTTTTATTTCTCCAGAAGTGTTTCAGCTTTGAGTGACATAAGCCAAAAGCTTTACAGATTTAAAAAATAACCCCAGAAACACCACCCTGGGGCGTGAGGGTGGTGAGAAGGGGCCGGGGTCAGTGCAGCCCGCGCGCCCGCACCGCGTCCACCCAAACGCTCACAGTCATCGTCCGTGTGCAGCTTGGCCTTCAGCTTCTCCATCTTCCTCTCATCCCGTAGCAGCGTCCTGTCCTTCTTGAGCGTCCCCGTGCCTTCCTCTTTCTTTTCTTCAATGGTTTCTTGGATTAAAGAGTACTCTTCGTAATTCGTTATTCCTGAAAACAGAAATGAGGGGACAGCGCTTAAACTGCTGTCAACGCCTTCCACTGCGGGCCTGGGGAACTGCAAGGTGCCCCTGTTGGCCAAGGATGCAGAGAGGCTTTTCTGGAGTGAGCAGAGGGAGGCCACAGGTCGCGTGACTCTGACGCGAACGAAGGACCACTCAAAATGCCATGTCCAGTTCTCTACTGAGTCTGGAGGGACAAGAACAAAGCAGATACCAGGGAAGGCAAGAGGACATCTAAAAAGAAGTGTCTGAAAGAACTCAGCTCCCTTTGCATGAAGAACAGACTAAGACAGGCAGGTCTACTTTTTTTCAAGTATGCAGAGGCCTTCCTGTGGGACAGGGGGCAGCGCTGTCCTCTGGGGAGACTAACAGAAGAAAACCTGCCCAACAGTCACACAGGCTCTCACCATGGCTTTCAGGGAGACTGGATATCAATGGGGGAGGCCTGAATCACACACAGTTTTAAGAATTCCTCTCAACTGAAAACACCTGTTGTTTTCTGAAAGAGAAATAAAAGCTCTAAGGGCAAGAGGAAGTGAGAGGTTCACTTGATTACAAGAGCACAAGTAGATTGTCAGATCAGGAGAATGGATGTGTTCTCTTGGGACTAGGCAGAACAAAACTACACAGACACCACAGGAGGGTGGATAAAAACAGGAGAGATGGGCGGGGGATGTAGCTCAGCGGCACTGCACTTGCCTGCTAAGTACAAGGTCCTGAGTTCGATTCCCAGCACCAAGGAAAAAAAAAGAGGCATGTTGTTCAAAACAAAGCAAACATGGAACTGGGTGCATGGCTGCTCACCTATCCTGCTGCAGATGGTTACCAGGAGCTCCCCCACGGTCTTAGAGTCGTCCACCATCACTGTCTTTACAGATCCATCCAGCATCCGGATCTTCTGAGGCCTCTGTTTCTTTTTGTATTCCAAAATGTCCTAGAACCCAAACCGTACACGTATTTCACACACATGGGAAGCAGGTAACAAACCCGGACAATTTCCTTAAAAATGAACAAGGAGAAGGAGAAGGAGGAGGAGGAGGAGGAGGAGGAGGAGGAGGAGGAGGAGGAGGAGGAGGAGGAGGAGGAGGAGGAGGAGGAGCAGGAGGAGGAGGAAGAGGAGAAGAAGGTGGTGAGGAAGGCAAAGGAGGAGAAGGAGAAGGAAAAGAAGAGGAAGAGGAAGAAGAAAAAGCGGAAGAAAAAACAGTCCCTAGCAGGTGTTGATTTCCTCATCCTTTCCAAATTTCTTTGAAAATTTTTCTTAGGAAAAAGTAATCTTCCTTCATTGTTATAGCAGCTTCTATAACACAAAAATTCCAGGCCTCAATAATTGTTTTGATAAAGATTTCTTTAAAACTGTAGTGACATCGCACACCCCCTCAACAAGGAAGTAGCATGATGACCAAAGATTACCCTGCATAAAACAGTAAACGTGCGAGATACACGGATGGAGGCTGGGGAAGGCCGCGTTGGTGAGCACTGGCAGAGGAAATGGGCTCCGTGCTCTTTTTAAAAGACAGTCTCCAGTGAGCCGTATTTTGTCGTAATTTTTACTACCTACACATAGACAATGAAAATTTGGTTGTAAAATTTACTTTCAAAACACTTGCTGCATATATTTGCCACACGTAAATATACACATATACATACAGACATCAAGGCCTCCACCGAGCCACCACCCTCCACATCACAGTGGGTGGGGCGCTCATAATGCTGCAGGCCACATGAGCAACACCACACAGGGGCAGTGAGTTTGGAAGTGATTTTTTAAGTAAGACGACTCTTTTTTTCTATACGTCTTAAAAATTGAACTATGGAGGGAACATTCATTGAAACTAATGAATCAACTATTTCATTCTTGCTCTGTGGAACAGGGGTCTGTCCGATTCATCCAACTGACCAAAACAGCTCCTATCTTGGAAGTTCGGTGGGGTGGAATTAACACAGTCTCACTCCTCACTTCCATAACAACTATTTTCGTGTTGCTACTGTTACTAACAGTTACTAAAATCACACCCACTATTTGAAATTTCTTTTCAAAAACAAAATGCTAATTACTATTTGATCTCAGACTCTCTTGAGAATTACCTTCCGTTCCCCCTCCTCTTGTCTGAGTTTCCATCGGGAGCACACTTACATCCTCAGGGAACATGCCTCTACCCTGGCTCGTGCATGAGTACCTCGTCCAACATAAAGTGGAGAGACTGCTTAAAATGCCCCTAACTGAATCAGTTTAAAGAACTTGGATTGCTGACATTCTCACATCACCGGACAGCACATGACCTGGGAACCATTGATAAGATGCCCTTGAATCAAAATGTCAGAATGCTGTTGGTTTCCACAGGGGGCCCAGGGACAGAGCAATGAGGAAATTCAGTCAGACCAGCAGCCTACCCCGTTTCGTAACATGTAGTAATCCAGTGTTCTGCCTGCTTCCAGCCAAATCCCTTTCCTGGGATCTTCATCCGAAAGAAACAGCCCATAGTCAGAAGCTGGAACACAAAGAGAAAGACAGAAAGGAGGCCAAGTGTTGGAGAGGCCATCGCGGCTGCCCAGCCCTGCACCAGCCCCCACAGAGAGCCTGTAGAGTCCTTCAGCAGAAAGACACTTCCTGTTGGACCCACAAGTGGCCAACAGCACATAGCAGGTGCGGAGGAGGAGAGCTGAGCTGCAGAAGCGGAATCCACAAAACTGGCTCACATTTCTGAGGCTCTGTGGGTTAGAGCTGGTCTGAAAGTTAGAATACCATAGGAACAAAGCAGTCCAAATGTACTGGCAACCGAATTTGAGTATGTTCTCTAGAGCTTGCTGTAAAAACCAGGCCAAGAAGCTGGGCATGGTGGCACATACCTGGCACTCCCAGTAACTCTAGGAGGCTGAGGCAGGAGGATGGAAAGTTTGAGCCCAACCTGGGAAAATCAGCACATCTGTAAAATGTTTCAAAATGAAAAAAAGAAAGAAACAAAGAACTGGCAAAAAACCCAAGGGGAAACCCCCAAGGTCAATCCCTAGTACCACGAAACAAAAACAAAACAACTTGGGGGAAAAAAACAACTGAGAAAGTGACCTCTAAGCACAAGGTTGTTTAGGCACAGGGGCAGGTGGGGGCTTTATACCGCAGAAGATCCAGCAGAACACATCGGCAGATCCGTAGAAGTCCTCGTAAGATGAAGCCTCTGCCTCCCAGTTTCAACAAATTAGGAAAATATGTGGAAAATTAAACTCAGTGTTCTCCATAGAAATCCCTTGTCCTACCTAGGAGCTCCAGGGGAGTGGGTGTGCGTGCGTGCGTGCGTGCGTGCGTGTGTGCGTGCGCGCACGCGCATGTGTAGGGGGGACAGAGGCACTGCACATCTGGATTTCTCTCCTTCTTACTGTCCTCATGTAGTTCAAGAAAACCAGAGACCCAGGGTGGGTCTGAGCAACTGCTGACATTTTGATTCAAGCAGTCCAAAGGTCTGTAAAGGTTTACTCACACCTTCATCAGGGCTTACAGAAAGCTGCCCCAAAGAAATTTTGTAAAAAATCTGAGAGAAAACAACAGAAAAGGAAGTGAAAAGTTAAGATAACAGCAGTAAACTAGGCAACCAAATCTTGGAAAGGTATTTTTTGGTTTTGTGGCCTTTTTTTTTTTTTTTTTTGAGATAGGGTCTCACTAGGTGGTTCAGGCTGGCCTCCAACTCTTGGCAATCCTCCTGCCTCAGCCTCTCAAGTGCTAGAATTATAGGTTGTGCCACCATGCCCAGCTGGGAAAGTGATTCTTATGCTTCAATTTTTAAGCTGAGTTTTACCAACTTTCACCCTGAAGGTTTATCCGTTTAAAAGTGATTCTGCTTTCTCTACTGTCGGTCACATAAACACCTGAATAAGGGAAAGAAATGCGTAGAGGAGACAAAGGGAAATGGAAAAATCACTGTATAGTGTATGAATGGCTTTTATCTATATGTAGATTAATAAGGGTCAGTAGTTTCATCAAATACAAAACAAAACATGTAACATTTTCCCTGTATTTTTTTAAGATCCGAGATAAAATTTATAAAGCTCCTTCTGAAGGGCTTGTAATGGAAGACTTGCCCCAGGCCCTGGTGGTGATCAGAAGGGATCGTGCGCAGGAAACAGGGCTGGGGACACACACAGTGAGCAGGTGCCCGGGGAGGGCTCCTGCACTCTACTGAGTGAATGGGGTCCAAGGCTGCGTCAAAAGTGGTTTATAAACCGCAGAGCGTGAGGAGGAAGAGCGTGGGGCAGGATGACGGCGGCTCTGTGCTGACCGATGACTTGGGGTGACGTGGACACTGTCACCACAGGCTTCACAAGGGAAGCCAGGCATGCCCAGCCTGAAAGGTACTGTCCTTGAAATGTAAGGCTGGGCGGCAGGTGCCCACTCAGAGCCTCCTCCACCAGACTCACCTTGCCCCGTCTGGGCCTCAGGGACCCGCTCCCGAATGACCCGGCAGGCGTCGTACACGGCCGTGGATGGTTCGAACTGCATGGTCTTCACCACATTGCAGTGGCGGACGCAGATCTTTAAGGACAGGGCCACCATCTTCCTAGACGATCTGAAGGGGCTCCCCTAGACTGTCTGGAAGACACAAAGAAATAACTCTGATACTCACGATTGTTGTCTCGAGGGAAGAAACTCTACCGGCTCTCAGGTCAACTGTAAGTCTCACACGGGACGCAGGGTGCGCCACCGGCACGTTTCTCTGACAACGGCTTATGTTGGGACAGCATTTTGTTTGTGAAAATATTTCTGTTTTAAAAGCTTCTTTTTACTCGTACACTTTTCAGCACCCAGTGATGACACTCGCCGTGGGGTGCTGGTGCTGGTGCAGCACACGTCTTCATTCTTTCTCCATCCCCTTCCCCTCCCGCCCCTCCCTTCAGCTCTTGGTCCCCTTCCCTTTTCCAAAAGATTTCTTTCCTATTATCTTTTGTTTCGTTTATTTATTGGTACCGGGAATCAAACTCAGGACCTTGCGCTTGCCCGGCAGGCACTGTGCCGCTGCGCTATATCCCAGCCCTCTTTAATTTATTTATATTTTGGATTTCTCACATAAGAGAAATCATGTCACATTTCAGCTTGCGTGTCTGATTTATCTCACTTAACAGTCTGCTCACAGGGCACATCCATTCTCCTATAAATGATTCAAGTGTATCCTTCTTTACTGCAGAGTAGTTCTCCACTGTGTGTAAATACTACATTTTGTTGATCCGTTATCTGAGGACGGATATATAGCCCACTTCCAAGGTTTAGCTACTATGAGTTGTGCTCCAACTAATATGGGTACACATGTATCACTGTAATATGATGACTTTAACTCTTCTGGGAGGATATCTGGAAGGTGAATGGCTGGGTAAAATGGAAATTCTTTTTTTTGAGACAGGGTCTTGCCATGCAGTTCACGCTGGCCTTGAGCTCACTTTGTAGCCCACGCTGGGCTCGAACTCACAATGATCCTCCTGCCTCAGCCTCCCGAGTGCTGGGATTACAGGCGTGTGCCACCATGCCCAGCCTTAAACCGGAATTTCTATTTTTACTTTTTTGAGGAATCTCTATACTGATTTTCCACGGTGGTCATACCCCCTTACATTCCCACCACCAGTGTAGAAGGGCTTCTTTTTCTCCACAGCGTCACCAGCATATACTATTACTTGGTTTCTTGATGACTGTCATTCTTTGTGTTTTAATTTATTTTATGAATAAAAATTTTAAAAATTAGAAATGATAAAGAATGGTTGTTATACTGCATATTGTTATCTCAAATTTAGCTGTTCAGATTATCAGATATAAGCATGCAAAACTGGTCAAAAAATTTAAGCATTAACTATCCCTTTAATAAACCAATAGAAATCAGCAGTACAATTATCTTAGCTATCCTGTGTGTGTCTGTGCGTGTGTGATTCTTTTTGGATGGAATCTCACTCGGTGTTGTTTTCATTTGTATTTCTCTAAAGGCCGCAGATGTTCAACAGTAAAAATATTTCTTATTTGAGAAATGTCAAGACACAGTCCACCACCACCAACAGCTCACTGGAAACCTACCCTGAGCTGAATTAATTTACTACAGCGCGGGAGGCGGCTGGATTGCTAACTCGGCAGAGTTCACAGGACCCGGCAAGATTCTACCCACAATATAAAGGGCTTTTTAGCCAACACACTCCCTGAGTTAAACCCTAGCGGTACGCGCGCAGATCTGTCCTATTCTGGATCACCCTATGGGTTTGCTTGTCCCCCTGGGCTGGGAAGCATCGCAGGGTTTCCTGAGCTGCCGAGTTCCAGGAGCACAGCTGGCGCTAACAGCCAGCGGGCAAGGCCAGAGACGGACACTGTGGCGGATGCGATTTTGGGACACAGACGGCACGGGATTCCTTCTCCTCCCTGGGAAGAGTACTGTTGGTGTCACTGCATGAAGGCCATCTTTCCCAGGGTGAAAACTAGGCTTTCTGAAGAGCAAATGCACTGCCCCTCCAGTCAGGCAGGCAGAGATTCCCCATCGGAAAGGACGACAGGGTCACGGCGTGGGCTGCCACACCCACCCTTCCCCTCTCCTGGCCTTCAGAGACAGGACGCACCCATTCCCACGGAACAAACTCCCGTCACGAATTCCCGGTGGGTCCCGTCATGCCTCATCTTAACACCGCACAGGAGGCGGCACTTGCAGTCCGGGGTGGACGAGGAGACCGACGTTCTCCACTCTCACATTACTCCAAAATGGCGACTGCAGAAAAGCATCACTCCTACTACATAGGAGCACGCGGTAAGAGGAAAATCCACACCCCAAGCCAGTCACTCTCACGGACCACCGCATGCGAGTCCAAGACTGAAAGGTGTCCTCTTGTTCCTGACTCCTTGCTTTTTTAGGACTCACTATTCCCAAGCACGAAACAAGACCAATAATCTACCTCACAGTATTTTTTACATGAGAATCCTGTGTGTACAGAACTGCTTCATAAATCGTAAGTTGTACACAAGGGCAAGGTATTTTTATTATCATGCCGCATGATCGCTCACATGGCCAAGCCTACACGAGGTCTGAAATCCAAGTGCACGATGGTTTCATCATTCTCACGCAGAACCCGCAGCGATGAGCTGCTTCTAGTACCGCTCAGCACAAAATGGACACTTGTTGGCATGAAGTAGCCAACTTTACCCATGGCAAAAAGACAGTAGGGTTAAATCACACAGCAAGCCAGAAATGTCAGCTGAAGTCGGGTCTGTGTTTTCAACACTTGTGAGAACTCTCACTGTACATCTACTATACGTCCTGAGCAAAGGGTGCAGCTCAGATACCATCTGGTAGAGATGTACACCCCTTTCCCACTGTGATGTGTTCTGGGCAGCATGGAATCGACACACCCTGCAGTCCAAGCTCTCAGCTAATTCCTGCTCCTCGAGGCTTTTAATGCTGCACACTTGGCCCTGAGGAGAGCTGATCAGGTTTCTCTGGCTGGTCTGGCTGCAAGTAAGCTCTGGGCCAAATCCGTGCACAAGTTCTCATGGCATTGTTACAGCCTAATTCCTGTCTCTATTTTACGACCCTAACCTGGTTTTCTATTTTCTCTTACCCTAATTTGGATATATGCTTTCATAACAGATTTTAAGTTCCTTTTCTTTTGGCGAACAGACAAAATATAAATCCATCAAATTTGTATTCTTTTCCCCTTGCATAATCTCTTCTTACTCTGACCACTTTTGCCTTTATGTGTGTGTGAAGGTCACTTGGACCAACCAACACAAAAACCCTCCTGGGACTGCCAAGACAGAAGATGAGCCAGTGGAACCAGTGGTGAAAGGCGGACATGCTCCTTCTAAAATAAACACCTTCCAGCTCCAGGGAGCTGTAAACAGCCCAGGAGGCTGCCCAGCTCTCCACAATCCACCCAGAGACAAACAAACCCCGCTCCAGCCAAGGCCTCCTCCTCTGCAAAATAAATGTCCACCATTGGTCAAGATGAGCAGCCACCCTCTGGGCCTCCGCCTGAGGGCCAGTTCCAGCCCGACCCCTGTCTGACCAGATATGCAACCCTAAGCTGGTTACTTACTATTGTTCTGGTTGATAACACTGTGTCAACTTGAGGAGTCTAGAAGCTTCACTAAGTAACTCAGCAGTTCTACATCCCGGGGTGAAAAGGACACGCCCTTACCCTCTGGGATGTTGTTCATTGTGTCCCCTTGAGAAGTTTGAAAGTTCAGCTTGAAACTAGAAAGTGACTCAGCAGGGGTTCAGGGTCCTTACTTTGTGAACACCCTCAGCTTGTGGAAGAGGAGGGCACAGAGATAGTGTGGGCCTGGGCGGATGGCCTATCTACAATATAAGGAGGAAAAAAAGGCTTGCTTCCCTCCTTTTTTGCTCTTGCTGTCTTGTGCCGCCTTGAACTGCTGCCCCTCTGCCATGCCACCCTGCGTTGGAGCCCCCTGATTATAGACTGAGACCTCCACAGACTGTGAGCTAACTAAACCTTTCCTTCCTTAATTTTGGGCACTGGGTATTTTGTCTCATCAATGAGAGAAAAGTAACTAAGACACCTACCATCTACCTCAGGTTCCTTCTCAAAAAAAAGAGAGAGAATAGACAAGTAAATGAATTAAATATGTCAAAGGCAGATAGACAGCACTAAGCAAGGGCTTGTCATTAGTCAGAGGGATTGGGGAAACACTGGAAGCAACACATTCTATCCAGCCAGTGGGCTGAAAATCCCTTCTACTGTTTATTTTGCATTTACTGTGGCTACACACTGTAGGAGGAATTAGGGAGCAAAGACAGAGAACATGCCTGTCCACATGGAGCGCATCTTCTAGTAGGTGCACTCCACTAGCCCGATTTGCTACACAGCTTTAGTGTCCATCCTTTTGCAACATGTACAAGCTGAGTGTGAACTATGAGGCTGAGTGTGTCGGGGAGCATCCAAGCCTCAGCACCTAAGTCACTGTCTTAGAGATTAGCAGGAGACCATCAATGCAAGAGCTCAGGAGAAAAAACTGCCACCACAACGGGCTCTTGCCCTGCAGCCTAGCACAGAACTCTGCCGGGGGGCAGCCTACAGCAGGCACCGTGCAGCTTCTGAATGCTCCCTTGTGAAGCTGAGGTTCTGTGCCCACCTGGCAAGACCAGGGGCTTTGAGTCTTCGGGACAGGGAGCTGGATACCGTCTCTGTCCTCCCTCCACTGTGACCTCCCGGAGTCCCTGCTCCCAATTATGGATGGCTCACACTCTCCCTCTTTGTGTCCCAGGCTTGCGCTGTAGGTGACAAGCAGCCCTATCCGCTAACTGCACATATCCCATCTCCAACTGTCAGTGGATCAGGTGAGCCTTCAGAGAACGATCCCTCATCTGTGTTTACGTCTCAAGCTCCAGTGAGCAGGTTGGCTCTCTCGGAACAGTACCCAGGAAGGAGCTTTCCCTTCCCTCCCCGCAACTGCTCCTGTGGAAGACAGGCAGCCCCCTGACAGGTCAGAGCCCACCATGCACTGCCCATAAAGCTGCCCAGAACTGCCAAACAGCTGAGGTGTTTCCCTGCACGGCTGCCAGGGCCCAGCGCCCTGGGGCTCACCGGAGACATCCAGTCTCCACGCTGAGC